TGATTGTGTCATTCAAAATCAGTCACTGCCCCAGGTGACATCCAATTCCATGAGATCAAGCATTTTTTTCAAATACACAATATTATTATACATCTAACATGAAAAACAATAGAATTTATCCATCTATAGAATGCTGTATGGACATGTTTATAAACATTTTTGAATGTCTTCCTTATTTGGAAATTGTGCATCAGGTTCGAACACTGTTCATTGTTTGCTTCAGTGCTATCATTGGACAGTAAAAAAAAGAATCAAGTCACTGGATGCAAATATTGCCATTTCAGGTTGTCTCTCAGTAAATTATTACTACTAGCAGGTAAAAATGGATTATAATATGGTTATCGTGAGAATATCGCAAAGTATTCTCTGAGGCAGTACTGGTACATGTTAACCTCTGCTATTCATGGGTTAATACAAGCACAGTACTGCCTGAATGCATACTTTGTGGTATTCTCATGATAACTTCATATTATTCATAGTATTTTATGCAAAAACATGAAATGAAATAAAAATTCAGCAAATATGTGATTAGAAAAGTTAACATTGCCAAAGACAAAAAAAAGGAGACCTGTTCTTACATATTATGACATTTGACTGAAGCACAAAAAACAAACTTAAGCCAAATAAACTTTTTTTTTTTCATTAAATGACATTTGTCTTTCTTTGGCTATCAAACTGTTGAAGTACACATATTAGAAACAAACAAATATTCACCTTTGGCAGAGATTGATTAAATGCACTTAGTGGATACTTGGAGAATATAAACACTGAGGGCACTGTCACTAAAATCACCCTATACAATAAACTATACAATAAACTATTTTTGATACTGGAAATTATCAGTGATACTAAAATTAGACCATGCAAAAATCAATTTGTGAGCCACCACAGTTTAATTAAATATTACTTTGTTTTTAACTTGGTTGCAAATCAATCGTCTTTGGTATTTCACTCATAGCATAATACTGATGTTTAATTTCTTTGTCAAAAACCCTGACAACACGCAGACCTGATTTATCATCACCCAGTGGACAACCCATTGCTGAAGTCACCACTTCTTCCATATTTTGATAAAATCCACCAGCATTACGATGATAGTGACCACAGAATATTGTCTTCACACCTGAAAAAAAATTTACATTTTTATGTCAAGTTTAAAAGATGTTCTTTGACTAATTAACTACAATAATTAATGGCTACTAGAGTACATATAGCAACACACCATATCACACTGACAACTGCATTTTACTATGACAAATTGTGGGCATGGTGATGTTTATACTATCTGACATGGTGACATGTCTGCAATGTCAGACATTACATCTTCACACTTACAGACTATCAGATTCACTTGTGACTTTTTAGAGGGACCTTTCAATACAATGCTACAGTCTCTTCATGAAAGCACAATCCAGTTATACTATGGTGTTATTTTTTATCTGGCTATTACACAAACAAGAATTTAGGCACCATTCATGTTGTGTTGTTTGGGTACTTCCACCAAAGATGATTCCATAGGAACACTTATCAAAGGGCATAACATGGCTTGCATGCACCACAGTGCCACCTACTAAAATGTCCACCATCTTCTTTGTGTTTTTTTTTATATTACCACATGCATGCTACCATACTTCCACATACATACCACAATATTACCATAACAAATATGCACAATACCACATACATTGCCATATGCATATAGCCATATTACTATTTGCATATTACCACATGCATGTTACAATATGCATATAGCCATATCACTATTTGCATATTATCATATGCATGTTACCATATGCAGAAAGTCATATTATTATTTGCATGTTACCACATGCATTACCATATGCATATAGCCATATTCATATTTGCATATTACCACATGCATATTACAATATGCATATAGCCATAGTACTATTTGCATGTTACCACATGCATGTTACCACATGCATATAGCCATAGTACTATTTGCATGTTACCAAATGCAATACCATATGCATATAGCCATATCACTATTTGCATATTATCACATGCATGTTACCATATGCATATAGCCATATCACTATTTGCATGTTACCACATGCATTACCATATGCATATAGCCATATCAATATTTGCATATTACAATATGCATATAGCCTAATTACTATTTGCATGTTACCAAATGCAATACCATATGCATATAGCCATATTCATATTTGCATATTACCACATGCATATTACAATATGCATATAGCCATAGTACTATTTGCATGTTACCACATGCAATACCATATGCATATAGCCATATCACTATTTGCATATTATCACATGCATGTTACCATATGCAGAAAGTCATATTATTATTTGCATGTTACCACATGCATTACCATATGCATATAGCCATATTCATATTTGCATATTACCACATGCATATTACAATATGCATATAGCCATAGTACTATTTGCATGTTACCACATGCAATACCATATGCATATAACCATATCACTATTTGCATATTATCACATGCATGTTACCATATGCATATAGCCATATTACTATTTGCATATTACCACATGCATGTTACCATATGCATATAGCCATATCACTATTTGCATGTTACCACATGCATTACCATATGCATATAGCCATATTAATATTTGCATATTACAATATGCATATAGCCTAATTACTATTTGCATGTTACCAAATGCAATACCATATGCATATAGCCATATTCATATTTGCATATTACCACATGCATATTACAATATGCATATAGCCATAGTACTATTTGCATGTTACCACATGCAATACCATATGCATATAGCCATATCACTATTTGCATATTATCACATGCATGTTACCATATGCAGAAAGTCATATTATTATTTGCATGTTACCACATGCATTACCATATGCATATAACCACATGCATATTACAATATGCATATAGCCATAGTACTATTTGCATGTTACCACATGCAATACCATATGCATATAACCATATCACTATTTGCATATTATCACATGCATGTTACCATATGCATATAGCCATATTACTATTTGCATATTACCACATGCATGTT